CACATGTTTTGCCCACCTTTTAAACTGCATTTTTTTCTTTTTTCTTAGTAACATGCAGAGATAAATATGAGTTTTTTGTCAGACATATGTATTGTAAACATTTTTTCACATTCTGTGATTTGCCTAAGTTTTTTATAAATATAATATATTTTAATGATTGAAGTCCTTTATTTTAATTTATCAAGTTTTATCAGTTACTAATTTTTATACTCTGTTTAAGAAATTTTTGCATGTTCCCAAATCATGAAGTTATTCTATATTACCATTTAGAATTTTGTTAAGATGTCATGTCATATATTGTGGGATGTGCATTCTTCCCCCTCTTTAAGATAATGGATGTCAAATCACACCACACCAAATCCAGCATTCACAAAAACTTCTGTGTTTGTTACTCATGCTGGCATATGCGAAACAAGGGAAATTCTCGAGTGAGCAGCAATGATGTCTCACCAGCAAGATTTTACTCTTCGATGTCTGACAGGGGAGAATGGAGAGAGAGAGGAAGTGGGGTCATGGGGGGAAATATACAGAAGTCACTGTAATAATACATTAGACTAGATGAGATGTGCCTATAGTATAAATAGAAATAGTGGGATTGGATAGAAAATTGTGAGTTAATTTTTGGAAGAGGAAAAATCAACAGGTCTTGGTCTCTAGTTGGCTTTGGAGGGTGACAATGTCCAGGATGATTTCAAAGATTCTGACTTAGATTTAAGTGTGAAGAACTGAGACAGAAGGTAAAAAAAAAAAAAAAAAAGACTTCTCTAGAAAAGGAAATAACTTTATTGAGTTTTGATTGTTTTAGGTTTGATTGTATTTGATTTTGGGATGGAGAAGTCTGATGATTACTTGAAAATACAAGAAAAAACCAGGACTAGAGACAAAAGATTAGGAAATTATTAGTGTGTAACTAATATTGTGGGTACTTGGAGAATTCCACAGGAATGACTCAAACAAGTGAATTAAGATACTAATAAGATTTATTTTGAAATAAATGCAAATAGAGTGAGAGTAAACACATGAAAAGCCACCTTGACATAAAGGAAAAAAAACTTTTAGCAATAATAGAATTGCTAATAAATTAATTGGATAACTTGGCATATGTTAGGAAAAAATTTGTTCATCAGAAATTGGGTTGGTCGGTTGTAGAAGCATAGGGAGAATCATGAAACCAAGTTCTGGCAGTCCTCATTCTTCAAAGGCCTTAAGGCCAAAGACTTAATTGACTGATCCCAAAATATGTTGTAATCACACTCAGATTTTTTTTTTTTTTATAAATAGTATCATGTGTCTTAGCTTTGTAACCTGGAGTAAAAACCCTTGACCTTATAAAATAAAATAGTGTGTCATCTCACACTATGTATTGCCCGTAAGAAGCAGCATGTCTGTCTTCCTTGAGTGATAGATGCTTGCATTACTTTTGGCTGGCTATAAGGTTCTGTCCTTTTATGAAACTTCTATAGTTTATTTTTAAATGCTAAACATAACTGATGTGATTATTTAGAAATGAAATGTCAAGAGAAGAGAACTAGTGATAGAACTCTGACAGCTACACTGAGGTAAGAGCAAAAGAATCCAATGAAGTCCTGGAGAGAAATAAGAGAATGAGTGTAGAGGATAAGAGTAGAGAGAAATAATGGACATTGTGTGGGGAAAAAGAAACACAAGACGTTTGCTTTTCTTTGCTCTCACAGCACAAGCATCAACATAGAAAATTGACTTCTGTGACCAAATGTGGGGCTTTTACCCATACGTCAAGCAAGCAATTTTCTAGCAGAAACCAGCTGGGGACCTTCAATTTAATTTTGACACTTTCTACCTAAAGGTAGTTTCAGATCCCACAGGGTGAAGTCTCAGTCTCCAAGAAGCAATTTTCTAGCAGAAACCAGCTGGGGACCTTCAATTTAATTTTGACACTTTCTACCTAGAGGTAGTTTCAGATCCCACAGGGTGAAGTCTCAGTCTCCAATCCTGACCCCCGCTTCAGGTGCCAGTTGCAAGTCTAGACCTCTGGAACATCTGGCCAACCACATATAAATCAAGATTCTCATAACCCCCTCCTTAGGTTTGATTGGTTTGCTAGAGCAGCTCACAGAACTCAGGGAAACACTTATTTACACTTACTAGTGTATATAGAGGATATTATGAAGTGTACAGATGAAGGGATACATAAGGTGAGGTATGAGGGAAGGGGTGTGGAACTTCAGTGCCTGCCTCGAGCATGCAATCCTCCAGGAATTTCCATGTATTCAGCTATGTGGAAGCTCCCCAACCTCTGTACTCATGGATTTTTATGGAAGCTTCAGTACATAAGCATGATTGAAATATGGACAGCCATGTAGAAATGTGATTGGATAAAAAGGGTATGATCTAATGCTAGTAGACTGGGTGGGGAATCCCAGCAAGACCTGTCTGTTCTGGTTTTTCTTGGGCTCTCTGGGCAGCATTCCTCCCTGTATGGTATGGGGTGGGAATCTTATAACCTACAATCAGATAAGATAGGACAGATAATTTCTCTATGGTCAACTCCAAGAGAGAATGGTGGGGGAACGTTAGAACAACTAGGAACTGTGGGTGAAGATGGACATACATATATCATAAAATCACAGACATCAATAAAATGGTAGTTTTAAAAGGATGTAGTCAACAATTTCAAAGCTGCAATAGGGACGAATAAGAACAAGACTGAAAATATGCAGCAGATTTTCAGCTAGAATTATAGATTTTTGGAAGTAAGCAAAAGTGTGATAATGAGAATAACTGAATCTAAATTGAAAACAAACATTTCTGAACTTCTGTTTTACCTTTCTCTAAGATTCTCTTTTTTTCATGCAGCAAGCTTATCACAGATTATTTTATGAATGTAATTATTAAGAGTACCAGTGATAGCAACTACATTTTATTTTATTTTTTTTGTGTGTGTGACCGGTAAGGGGATCGCAACCCTTGGCGTGGTGTCGCCCGCACCGCACTCAGCCAGTGAGCACACCGGCCATCCCTATACAGTGAGCCACAGGGTTGGCCCACAGCTACATTTTATTGAGCACCTATAATATCTTGAGCATTGCTCGATTATTTAATTTAGTGTTTAGCACAATAAATTAGATATTATATTTATCTATTTTACAGATGGATAGCTGAGACTTAGAAAGTTAAGTTCCAAAGATATACATAGTGATATACGAGGTGGCTAGCATATACATGGTGGCTGGGATTTGACAAAAAGTCTGTGCTCTAGTCACTACAATGAATTGTTTAAGAAAATTAATATCCCTATTGGGACTTCTTCTGAACTCTCTTCACTGTTTTGTTAACAGGCATTATTTCCTCAAGAGGAAAAAACTTTAGGAAACTAAAGAGAAGACCTAGGATAATCTCAAATGCTGACGATTTTTTTTCCTACCTCATCTATACCTCAATTTTGAGACATTCTATAATATTTAAGAATTAACAGAGAAGTTGCACAATAGAAGTTAGAAATTACCAAAGAGTATTAATTTGAAAGTATCTGTTGTCCATGGAATCCAGCTAAAAGACTCTACAGTTATTAATACATCCCCACCAGACAACTACTTTTAAAAAGACCTCTCCCACAGCACAGCATGGTTCCATTAACATATTATGGTCAATGCTTTGTGCCATTGGACCACTCTTACCACCTGGCCACAAGCAATTTATTAACACATCAGTACAGTGGGGAAAAACTAAATCAACTCAATAACCAGCCTATGGCCAACATGCAATCCCATAGTAGTCACCCTGCATTAAGCTCTAACAGGAAGGTCCAGAGCTGCTCAATACTGTCTTCTCCCAAGTCTCGGGACACAACTTCACAGAGTTTCTATAACAGAGCTCTGAACTCACCATTATCCCACTGCAAACCTTCACAAAACCTCACAAAACCTCACAAAACCTCACAAAACTTCACAAAGCCGTCACAAAACCTCCATTGGAGAAGTTCATTGTGGTCCACTCAGAGAGCCCTGAGCTCACCTTCATCCCACCGCGAAATTCAGAAAACATCTTCACCCGACCTCAACAAGACATCATCATCACTGAAGCCTAGTCAAACAGCCCTGAGCTCACAATTACTCCTCCCCAAACCTCAGTCTACATCTTCAAGCCTAGACTTTTGCTGGACATCACCTTCACTGAAGTCTAATAGAAGAGTCTCAAGTTCATCATTATCTTCCCCCCAATGTCAAGAAACACCTTCTCTAAACACCATCTGGACATCATCGTCTTTGGGACCCAACCAAAGAACCTTTAGCTCAACATTGCTTCAGTCCAGGGCTCAGAAAACATCTTCTTTGGACTGCCTTTGTACATCTTTACTGGAGCACAATCAAAGATCTTTGAGCTCACCATCACTTAACACCACATCTCAAAAAAATTACTTCCAAAGAAAATCACCTTCTTTGGAGCCTGATCAAATGGTTCTGAGATCACCATTATCCGACTCCAGACCTCAGAAAACACCTGTATTGAGCTCCAAACCCTGTGTTCTGAGCTTACCATTGTCCAACTCAAAAGCAAGAAAATCACCTTTGCCACGTTATATCCATCAATCTCAGAGTTTACCATTGTTCCAGCCCACATCTCAGACAGTGCTTCCACTTGATCATAATTTTCAGACCCTCAGCTCACCAGTTTGTCACTCTAAGTTGAGGAATACCACCTCAAATGACAAATGTAGAGCCACAGATTTACTGTCACCCCATTTCAAACCAAAGGTCTCAGGTCAATCATTGTCAAGCTTCAAACAGTACATTAGGAATACAACTGCTTCAACATTCGGTTCCAAACTCCAGAGTAAAAACAGCTTTGATTTTTGTGCAATGACAGAATCAAAAAAAGAAATTCCATGGGTTTTAGATTGTGGTCAGCCTTGCATTGTTAGAGGTGGAACTGTCCCTGACGATGTTGTAAATAAAATTGTCAACTCTCTCTCCAAGACGAGGATCCAGAGGGATCTCTGTAGACAGATTCTCTTTCGAAGGATGAGGGGAAGGCCAAATCCTCATCCTGGCCCCCGCCTTTCATCAAATTATGCGGTGTGTTTAGCTTGTGCTTCCTGCATAAATTCTCAGTGTAGCCATCTTACAGGAAAGAAAGATCCTCGCTGCGCAACACTATTTGTTATACCAACACCTGAGGCCAGTTCTGAGGGGAAAATAAAGGTGAAATTATCTCTTATCCTTTCTCTACCAGAGACTTCTTCCTTATCTTGTCTCTCATCCCCCATGAAAGAAAATCAGCCTGATGAGGTCTCTGAAGACAACCTTGAAGGAATGGAGAAGATAACACAGATTTTCTCCACATCTGAATCTAATATCAACCAGAGACTTAACATGCAGAAAAAATGGTTGACAGTAGCCCCTGAAAAGAAAGTTATAAGCCAACAGCCCCATGCTATTGACTGGCTACTTTATGTTAAAGACAGTAGTTCTCAGCTACAATCTCTGCTCCCATCCTCTTCCTCCTCTTCCTCCTCTTCCTCCTCCTCCTGCTCTTTTGACGCCTCTGCTGTCTCTGCCGCCTTCGCTGCCTCTTCTTCATCTGCCTTCTCCTTCTCTCCTTCCATCTCAACCTCCCCACCCCTTCCTTCCAGAGATTCTGCCACATCTACGCTTTCGGGTTGTGCATTCGCTGAGGTAATTAGTTACCACCGGTTGCCTCCAGGCGTCTCCTGGCTTGAGTTTTTACATAGTAAAGATCACCAGCCACTTCCTGGAAAACCAAATCAAAGTCAGTCACCATCTTCCAAAACAAAGCCGGAGAAGAATAGCAACATAGTAAATTGGGCAAAGGGACCAAGCGTATTGTCCAAATTTTTCCAAAGTTTCAAAGTTAGAAATCCTGATTAAATGAACTTTTTGTCTCTTTGAAAACATTGCTCTCTTAGTTCTATGAGATTAACGTTTGACTTCCTATCATGCTTATTAATAGTCTTAGTAATAAGTAAGTGTTATGATATTTTAGTGGATGAAACTCCTATTTAAGGGAATCTATTACTCTTAAGTCTATTTTCTAGCTAAATAATAAACTATGATCTCCTAGAAGCTGAAAACCGAACCTTATGCTTTTGACTGAATGTCTGGCTTATAGTAGCCACTCTCTAACTACCGTTGAGTGAATTTATCATAGCTGACCATGCACTAGAAATACCTCATTTGTCTTGTCCTGAGCAGTATCAAGCTCTTATCCTCCTTCCTTGTAAGACTTGATAATGACAGTACCTTAAATCAGCTTATGCTAATCTGTTTTCCCATTTTTAAAGAAAGTTCAGATCATGTTTAACAAGTGAGAAAATATAGAGAGACATCTCTTCAGGTATGTATTTCTAGGGAAATTTCTTCTGTGTCAATATCCTGCACTTTGAGATTCAATGATTTATTTAACCTTAGTTAACAAATATGATGAGAGAATAACTAACTAGTACACATAACCCTACTTTATGCTGACAGGAAATATAGAGAGACATCTCTTCAGGTATGTATTTCTAGGGAAATTTCTTCTGTGTCAATATCCCGCACTTTGAGATTCAATGATTTATTTAACCTTAGTTAACAAATATGATGAGAGAATAACTAACTAGTACACATAACCCTACTTTATGCTGACAGGACCAATATTTTAATTATAGGCTCTGAAGTCACCTCTCCATCACTTCTATTTATACAACTTAAATTGGTTAACAAGAATTATTTAAAAAATGTTTTTGTTCCACTACATCTACTGGTAGTGGGAAGAAAAGAGAGTTGCCTTACTTACTCATCTTAAGTGATCATCTCTATCCCAAGGGCATTAGAATTAGTATCTTTTACATACCCTAATGATTTACAATCTTGCTTTTCCACCCCATATCTTTTCTGATCCTCAGACTGCATTCTGGACATTTCCAGTTGGAATACGGTACAGGCATCTCAGACTCAACATGGCCAAGCCAGAATACATCATCTTCCCATTTACAGTTTACTTCTTTACACCTACAGTCTTTTGCCCCCTGTGTTTCCCGTTTCTGCAGATGCACCACCATCCACCACAGTGTCATGTTTGATTTTCTTGTTGCCTGCCTCTCTCCAAGTCCGTGAATTCTAGGGCCTTATTTTCTCTAGAATCCAGCCTTTTTCTCCATCCCCACTGCTGCTATCATAGGTGTGGTCACATTTATTTGCCACCTGGATTAAGGCAATAACTCGTAAACATGCACTTTGACTTTTGAATACAATTCTGAGTTATAAATTTGATAATATCACTGCTTATAATCCTTTAATTATTGTCCATTGTTTTCTGTGGAAAGTCCAAATTCCTTTTGTGATTGAACTATGATAACTTTTCAGAACTGACTTCTGATTCTTCTCCAGTCTCCTACTGGATGCTTCAGTTACACTGATTTCTTTACAATGCATAGAATGTGCCAAGGTCTCTCCTACATTCTAGATTTCAAATAAACAATTCTGCTGTCTAGAAAGATCTTTTCATCTATCCATTTTTATCCTATGAAGCTCTGCTTTGTCCTGACACCTTCTGCAAACCTTTTTCCTGATCCACCTAAAAAGGGGTTGGTTGGCCTTTTACCATAAAACTCTGTGTTGACTTTGTACTGCTGTTAACCACATTATATTGCAACCATTTCTTATCTGTCAGATAAGAAATCTGTCTTCACTCACTAGACCAAAAACTCCCGTTCAAAATTGTATCCATTTTTTTTAAACCTAGTTCTGTAAATGCCCTAAAATATATGTCAATATTGAGTTAATGCTAAGGAAGCTCTTCACCTTTCTAAATTCTCTGAAATAAGTAATATTACATTAGTCTGTAACTTTCCCATATGGTTAATATTGAATTGTTCTTTTGTACCTTTTGTCTTGGTGAGAACTTATATAAATATTACTGATGACAGCAATCATCCTTGTGTTATTTCTTAAGTTAAAAGTGTTTCAAGTATTTCAGTATTAAATATGATGTTGGCTGATGTACAGTGGGTCAGGTATGATGAGGAAGAACTGATGTGATAATGTGTTCAAAGCCTTCTGCAAACTCTTTAGAAAGCCCTTGACATGTGCTCTATTCATTGTGCAATTCTCTTCTGGTGAAACACATCACTTCTGTAATTTCTTGTTTAATATCTTCTCTACTAGATTAAATTTTATGAGCAGAGGTCCTGTGTCTGTCTTGTTCCCCACTAACTCCTAAAGACCTAGTGGTGTTTGGAACATATTAAGTACTCAACAAATATTTGTTGACTTAAACCGAGGAGTTCAACTGATTTTTATTTATTGATGCAAATTGCATATTTAATTTTCCATCTTTTACCTTCTTTTCTAAACTGTATGCTTCATTGTAGGATCTTTTCACTTTATTTTTTGAACTCTGATTTAATTGCTTTTAACTTCTTTATTCTATTAGAAGTTATCTTGTTCTTAATTCTAACAGTGTTGACTTTCAAGACTTTTTCAAAAGAATTCTTTAACCTTTATTTTCTAATGTTTTAATTTATAAATAAAACTGGGTGGAATTTATAGTAAAAAATATCTACATAAGCAACGTATATTCAACTCTCGCTCTTCCAGCTTCTGTCGAGATACCAATGGAATTCCAAAATAGGAAACAACATGTATCAGAAACAGAAAGATCAAAACATTTCTGCCACATCTTTTACAGATGAGACAATATTTAAGGAAGGGTAGAAGAACTCACAATTCACTGCACTTGAAGGAAGAGATTGAAAGTAATAGAAAAAGATCAGTAGCATCTAATTAATGCTTTTTGCCTTAAATGGAGGGGACTGGACATGAGAACAAACTACATAGCAGTTGGGAGGTAGAAACTAGATCCTATGACTTGTCACATTTGATTGTACCAGTTGATGTAAAGTGGCATGACATATCTGGATGATAATTTGACAATAATATTGAAGTGTTAATAATATACATAACCATTTTTCTATGGACCTCCTCCTTGGAATTTATTTTAAAGAAATTATTTTGACTATGTAGAGTTATATAAACAAGTAATCATTGTGATTTGTTTATAATAGTGAGAAATGGGTAAATAATCTAGATGTTCAGTTATGGAAAAGTATTTAAATACACTTTAATTCATACATGTGATTTTTTTAATGATGAAAAATTATTTTTAATATTGCACCAACATTTATCTTAGAAATAGAACTACCTGCTTTAGGAAAATACCTTGTCAGAACGATTGGGAGTGAATAGTGACCTTCAATATGTGTTAGAAGAAGAGAGTGAAATAAAGAGAAGATAGCTAAACTATTGTATCTAAATTTCAAACAGTACTTTTAGATGAGAGATAGCAGAGAAGAGATGAGAGGATATATCATTTATGATTTAAGTGAAAATACATTAAATCACAAGACAGATCATGTGCAGTTTATATATAATTCTACCTTGTAAAACATTGAATTATGTATGTAAGCATGTGTGTGTGCATGTATTTGTGTAAAATTTGTTTCATGTATATGAGAAAGATGGAATGACTGAAAGTATACATCAAAATATTGGAT